CCCCTGGGGCAACAGGACGCGTATCAACCCCAGGGTGCATATGAGGGCCGTGAGGTGTTAGGACGAGAAAGATGATGGCATAACCACGAAAATCAACCACTTCTGGAGGAAGCGGAGTACTGAGGCCACCAATCTGGAAGTGGGAGACGTGGTCATAATTGTTGACCATCAATTGCCTCAGGCTCCCCTGTCCTGTCGGAAAGGTAACTTGTGTACTTTGGAGCAGATAACTAACCCTCATGGTCTTCTCAGATGTTGAATTCTCTGAATGGCAGTTAAAAAGGCTGCCTGTCTTTATAAAAAAAAGACTGCCTGTCTTTATAAAAAAGTTTCTATTTGCCATCCAGTTGCAAATTATGAAGAGATTGCCCCAGACGGCATGGTGGGGCAGTGGCCAGCAATGTCGCCTCACAGCGATAGGGTCATTAGTTTGAATCCAGCTTGGGGCCTGTCAGAGTGGACTTTGCATGTTCTCCCCCAGTTCACAAGGGATTCCTCCAGGTACTCCGATTTCCTCCTGCAGTCCAAAATCATGCATGTCAGGCTAATTGGAGACTCTAAATTGCCTGTAGATAAAAGTTTGTTAGTGAATTTTAAGTGCGCCCCGTGATGGATTGGCAATCCGTACAGGGTGTGCTCCTGCCTTTCCCCCATAACCTGCTGGGATAGGTTCGGCTCCCCTGTGACTCTAGTGAGGAAGAAGCGGATTAGATGATGGATGACTGGATTGGATAGATCGCCCCAGATTCCTTTGCCAAAAATTAAAAAAAAAAAAAAAAATCCATCAAGCTCGTGGTTACAGTGCAGTGGACAATTAATGAACACTACTCCAGTTTTGGAGTTTATTTTCACTCATAGTGTGTTGTGCGCATGTGTTCACACTACTGATCCACATCACTCATAGCACACATCCCCAAACCCAGATACTTTCATAATTCAATTAATGACCAAGTTTATGGGGAAAAAAAGCCTGATCATTGCCACTCTTCAACTCAACCATAGCTTTATATTTACAAAATGTCTGTCTGTTAATGTAGCAGGACTGGGAAAGAATTCCACCTACAAAGCTTCTACAATTAGTGTCCTCAGTTCCCAAACGCTTATTCAGTGTTGTTAAAAGGAAAGGTGATGCAAGACAGTGGTAAACATGCCCCTGTCTCAGCTTTTTTGGAACGTGTTGCAGGCATCAAATTCAAAATGAGTGAATATTTCCAAAAAAAAAAAAACAAAGTTTATCAGTTTGAACATTAAATATCTTGTCTTTGCTGTGTACTCAATTGAATATAGGTCAAAAAGGATTTGCAAATCATTGTATTCTGTTTTTATTCACATTTTACACAATGTCCCAACTTCATTGGAATTGGGGTTTGTATACATCCAATGTCCAACACTGTGCAAGGTGAATTCAAGGAGAAATTTCTGTTTTTTGTTTTAGAGAATGCAGGCATGGAATCCAGTCATATGTGTTTTACAAGTGCCTTTAGCTGCGTAGTTTAGGCTATTTTACCTGAGCCCTGTTTCCAAGAAGTACTGGGCACCAACTCCTGAGGGATAAATTAAGTGAAACCAGTGGCCATAAGCTCACGTGCGTGACGGAATCTCATTTGCATACTGTGCGGCCATCTGTCCTCCGCTGTTGCCAATGACATTGTCAGGGATCCGGAACGGTAAATGAGCTCATAAACCGCACACAGGGGCTCCCAGATTGCCCCATTACGCTCTCTCTTTGATAACAGGGAACATGAGGGGACAGAATGTGATGGAGAAATAAACACTATTCAATAGGGGTTTTATACTGTATATCTATACCTACAGTTTGATTGGCTGAAACAAATTATCCAAATTATCACCTGGACTTTTCGATCCCTGTTAAGTGAGCCGTCTGTCTGGATCTTGCGGAATATCAGAAAAGCACACTTTCATCAACTACATGAATAACCAGAAGCTACATCCTATTTACTGAGGAGCAGTGGGCAGTCAAAGTCCAGCAGGAACTCCGCTTCTAAAGCTGAAGCCTTGGGCTAGGGCTCTGATTTTCCAGCAGAGCAGTTGTTCTCAATGTCATTCTTGGGGCCTCTCTGTGTATGGTGGTTTTTGTTCCCACCACAATTTGAGTAATCATCAATACAAAAAAAAAAAAACCAAACAAAAAAAAACCATCATTGCAGTCACGCCCCATTTCCAATGCTTTATGGGATAGTTCGGTGGCTGAGTCGCTTCCGGTCTTGCAGAGCTGCGGTAGGTTACTTTGAGCATGCGTGGTTACGGATACTTGGCCAAACGATACCAAGCGTAGAAGCAGCATTAATTCTTTGTGCATCCAGTACTTTTTCTTTGCTTGATTTTTGCGTTTATATTGTTTGCAGTTTCTCAAGTCTAGCTGAATTGTTGTCAGGAGGGCCATGATTTGTTACTGCGAAGCTGCCTTGTTCTGGTCGCACAACAATAAAGCGAAAAAACCTTCAGAAATACCCCTGGATGAGAGACATCTGCTTGCATAGATGATTCTAATGATTCGCTCATTATCAAGCATCTTCACGGGTAACGAGCTGATCACTTGACTCGCCTGTGCAGGAGCAGATAGAGCTCTAAAACAAGCAGGAGAAGTGGTACTCCAGGAGAGGTTTGAAAAGCGCTGATAAGCACTGATAAGATTGCTATCGTTCAATTTTATGCACATGCAATAGACCTAAGCACTAGCAAACTGTGCACCGGAAGTGTAGTAGTCCCGGAAGGGTAAGAAATTTTGTTGAAAAAGCTAGATCCGGCAATTTTTTTTTTTTTTTGTATTGACAATTGCTCGAATTGCAATTGTATGATGTTACCATACTGGTAATTTGTCTTTATTAGGTGCGTTTTATGCTTAGAGCAGCTACCCTCTTAAGCCACATCTTGACAGAAATATCTATTCATGCCACATTGTGATGTATTGGGGGAAAAAAAGCCGCATCCAGACTGGGAAAAAAAAAACTGATAACTGATAAGCAGGCTCCTAATTAGCGAAAACTAATTGATACATGGTTGCACAGACTAAGCATTTATTAGGCAAGCAAATGATAAACATTCAGACCAGTTTTGTGTAATTTTTAAAGATAAAGTTCACAATAAGTGTTTTCAAATAACTTAAAGCACTTGTATTTAGTTTACTGATTTTCTCAGTGTCTGATTTGATCAATTTAAAAATGCTGTAACCTCAAATACCTTGCAATATAAAATAAAAAGAACAATATTTACTGGAGTCTTTTCTTCTGCTTGGAAATGTCTGTCAAAATGAAGTTTAAGAGCGTATATAACTGCTCTCATTAAATGCACCCCATTCCCAGGTAGCAAAAGACATTAATTCAATGCTGGATTTTGGTGAGATTGGTTATTTTTGGTTGAGGTTGAAAAAAAATCTATGTTGATTCAGTGTTTAATTACAATTACCATTTCAACTTTTGAAAAACTGTTGTTGAATCAATGTAGTGTAGATGATGATGTTTCAATGTTGAAATGCCCTACAATGATTTGACATCGTTTCAATGGTGCTGATGGGGGGGGGCTCTCAGGTGCTTCCTCCACCTAAAGGCTGATACATACTCCACAAGAACAGAGAAATTTGTTCTTGTTCTCGAGGCTACATGAACAAAATGACGTCATTTTGCTCTGGCAGCCCTGGTTTTGGAGTTCTTGCAGCTTGTTCTCGACACATCATCTGGGCAGAACTTTTTTCTCGTGTGGTGTCCGAGAACTGTTGTGTGATTGGTCAGAAAGATGGAGTGGGCTTGGCCCTTTGAGGACTTACCAGGAGTTTGGCACTTGAGTTTCTCGTGAAGTATGAAATGTCCCGGTCAAAACGAACTTTGTTCTTGTTCTCGCAGCTTTGAGAACAAGAACAAATTTCTCTGTTCTTGTGGTGTATGTATCAAGCTTAAGCCAGGCAGGAGACCATAAAAAATCAAAAGAAAAGGTGTGTGCTAAAATGTACAAAAGAAGTACAAAAGTGTAATTTCTTTTGAATCTTTAATAAATAACTAAATAAATAATGGTCTGGTTTATTGTTTTTTGTTAATAGAGCATGCAGTAAAGCAGCTGTTCTCAACCTTGGTTTCTTAAAAAAAAAAAAAAAATGGAAATAGCCAATCTACAAGCTCATAACACATTTTCGAATATTCACCTATGAAATAATTATAATCAAGTATGGGGTCCCCCAAAACATGTCCCTGTAAAGTGGGGTCTTTGTATAAAAAGGTTGAGAACCACTGCAGTACAGCATACTTATTGGACCATTTCAGCAATTTAACCTTCGTCTGTATGTTTTTAATATGCCTCATTTAAAAAAAATAATCATTTTACTTTATTTGGTGTTTTAAAGTTCTGCGGGGGTTGCTTCAAACTTGTCTATTAGTGACATCACTGCCATTCAGGCATATGGCAGTGATATCACTGACTAGTAGACTACTTTGGCATGCTCCTTGTTGTACTATACCATAAATAGAGTAATAAAGTGATTATTTTTTAATGAGGCATATTAAAAAACATACAGAGGAGGGTTGAAAAGTGTTGAAATGGCCCATTAATAGTAACATTGTTTCAATGTATAATGCAATGCATATATATATTTGAATCACTGTTGATGCAATTCTACATTCTTTCAATGTTGATCATATCATAGTTGAATCAAGGTTGATTCATTGTCAGAATTGATTGGAAATTCAACGTTGTTTCCATGTTGATCATAGCGAGCACTTTCAGTGTTTTTTTCAATATCTGACATCAAAGTTGATTGCAATCTTCAGCCTGACAACATCACAATGTTGATTCAATCACTTTTTGCTATCTGGGTTGAGACAAATTTTCAGCTTGTTAAAATCATTCAATTGTAACTCTGGCTGGAACAGAAAGCTGCATACACAAAGGGCCCCCAGGGGTAAGGTTGAGAGCCAGCATGCATTTCTGGATATGGGAAACCAGCACATGGAGAAAACCCCCTCATACACAGGGAGAACACACAAACTCCACAGAGAGCCAGGACTTGAACCTGGGACCTACTAACTGCCAGTCATCAGCGCTAACCACTGCACTACCATGCTTCCCCACAAAACAGCAATAATTGGTCTCTCACCGTATGTGTTTCATGTACACTTTTAATTTTACAAGAAATCATTGCAGAGCACCCCTCTCTGGATTCTAGCTTCATTAGGAAAAGGTATAATGGCATAATTACATGGACAGCCGTTTGGTGTAAGCAGAACATTATTGCCTTTGAAAGTGATTAATTATTAATTTATTACATGGCCGTTGTGCTGCAGTTACGACAGTGTTGGCGCTCTGAGAGAGCCCAGCACACTAACCCAGCACTACGCAGCCAAGCTGCCTCATTAAATGTCTCTCACATTGGTCATTAGGCGCTGTGGCTTTTTTCATCCACAGCTGTGTGTTTCAACTCCTGCTCGCAGCCAGTATAATTATCTCGTGTGGCTTTTTTTGGACAAAGACAGATAGTGGAATGAGTCAGACCAGAGAGAGCCGAGATCAGATCGTTTTCCCCGTCATATCTGTGACTGCGGATAAGCTGAGCATTAGCCGTTTCCACCATGTGTAGGCTGTTCATGGCTAAAGCTGGAAACTCGTCAATTTTCTGTTATTTTATTAGCGCAATAAATATCAAATGCACATTAACCCTTAGAACATTAAATACAAATCGTGTTGCTCAATGACGTAAGATATCAAATTCAATGCTGTTTAAAACCTATCACGTGGTGACTCTGGCAGGGGAGCTCTTTTAAACAAGTCAGCTCATGACAGGTTTACAACAGCACAAGATAATTTAATTTACAATTTTTTGAAAAAATTTTTCAGCACTCTAAGGGTTAAATCAATGACATCCCAGCTTGCGCACAGTACGTGTATGAGGATCTTTCAGTGGGCTTGCTACCAGTGATCATACCGATCATACACCTCACATCCGTGATTATACTTCGCATACATGTGAGGAAAGTAGACTCAGTTACAATTGCAAGAGTGCATTTGAATAAAACTCCAGGTACAAAGACACATGATTTACAAGAGTAAGGAGGTGCACCGGCTAGAATTATGTTTTCCTTATGAAAAGGTGTATATTGTACTCATTGCTATACAGAAATGGTGGTAGCTGTGCACCCGATTATATGACCTTTCAGCAGTGCCTGCTGAGTACATATGGATTTTAACGAGGTATTTACGAGCATAATCAAATAAAATTGAGCACTGTGGAGAAAGAGAACTAACCAGTTACTGAGTAGTACTAGAAAAATTCATTTTTTCCCATAAAAATGTAGCAGCATATTGTTGGCACAGTAGCTATAGCAACAATTTTTTTCACATATTAGAGGAAATGTTTCTAGCCATAACAAGATCCTGAGCTTGTTATTAAATTATATGACATTGGCAGTCACTCTTATCCGGTGTAATGTACAACACAAAGTGGATCTGAAGAAGTAAAAGAACTGAGACGCCGAAACTGAAGTAACATACCAAGTATCAGAAATGACAATGTTGCAGTATATACTGTTAATAGGATTGACTCTGTGGAAAATCAACAAAACAAAATGCGCCAATAAACATGATGTTTTAGACATTTAGCTCAGCAAAATCAAGTGAATCAGTATTTAATTCAAATGCCCCAGACTTATAACCAAATACAAAATTAGGTGGCGGGGGCAGTTTTGACACTATGGCCGTTTCAGTGGCAATGAAAATCCCTCTCTCATGATTGGGCATATTTTGCCTATTTTTAATATCAACTGTCTCAATAAACATCCACAGCAATGAGTTCTTCTGATCACCACTTCACTCACCATGGATTCGTCTACAAATTCCTTCACTTTTGTTTAAATGGGTCAAAGGTGAAGGTGAAGATGAAGGTGAAGGTCATCCACAAGATGAAAATCACATTTTGTTTAATATCTCGAGAATGGGAAAAGCTAGAAACATGGGACCAACGCCTGAGTAGTCTGGAAGGTGGCCCTTTCTGGTAGTTATGGGTCATATTCACCTACAACAATATTTTCTGGTCGAAAATTTACATCAAAATTTCAAAGTTCAAGGCCAAATTTCAACTATTTTGTTTAATAACCAATTTTGTGGAAATTTCCAGAGATGATTGATATTAGGGCCTTAAGTAGTTTCCCAAAATTTCTTAATAATTGGAGTACTTATTTTGAGGCAATGTTAGTTTCTATGGCGATTAAAATCCCTACTATATCTCCTATAATGACGCATATAATGATCAATAATGATAATCAGAAAAATCCTCCATTTTAACCAAACCTCTTCAATGAATGCCCTGCACGCATCATCTAACGGCTGATCTGTCAAATGATCGATCTGACAAAGCATTAAGATGTTCAAATTGCAATGAAAGAAATATTAAGCACCACTGAAAATGATCGCTGACATTTGAGCATCCTCAGTCTTGTTTCTTGTTTTCCTGTTTCTGCTAGTGTCACTCTATGAGCCATTTTTATTTGTTTGTTTATTAATTGGCAAGATTATGCAAAAAATAATGGATGGTTTTGCATGAATATTTTACCAGTGGTGGACTATGACCCAACTTTTGCAATGATCCAGATCCGGATCTGGTGCCAAGGGTTATTTGAAGGGTGCTTCACCATTACAAGATAGAGCAAAGTTTCACATTTTGAGCCATATCTTCACAAATAAAAACTAATTTGAAGAGAGAAAAATGGGGTGGGGGTGTAAATTCCTGCTATTTAAAAAGAACAAAAAATACAACTAATCTTTTGTGAGGGTGTTGGCAAATGGGGTACTGGTCAGCCTTGGCTGAGGCTTGCAATCTCAGATGGCTTGTTACAACATTTTTCTCTCGTAATGAGAAAAGTTTCACATTATAACAAGATCCTTTTCTCATTGTAAGGAGCAGCTGAGCTTACAAGTGTTTATTGACCGTAGCAGCAATGTGCTGGCACAGAAATCAGCTGTTGTTGCAAAAATCATCCACCCCAGCAAACATATGGCTTTTTACAAACGTAGGTGCTTTTTGTTAACACTGAAGAAGATGAATTAAGCTGCCTTGACTTTGACGGTGGATATTTCCGAGCAATTTATTTTCATCATCCTGCAGGTGAAGCTTTTTTAGACAGACAGCTCCAAGAGAATGCAATGCAGTCATCACAGAAGTTGTTGAAAGTCAAAGACAAAACCTTAAAACTGGTGGGCCCACTAGCTAAAATCTAGAGGAAAAAACAATGCTATTTACATTGGAATGTATTTAAAAATGATCTCACAAAAGTGCAGCCATTTAAAAACGTCATCTTACTCATTGTATCTTTAGGCACAATCTTAAATTGCCATGTAAGTGTCGTTCCGGAATCAACAAAATTGTCCAGGAGTAACAGCATGGTCCCCCAATGAACGGCAGCCCTGAAAATTTTAAACTGTGCTTACAAATGTCATGCATTTTAGTCGTCTAAAATTAGCTAGCTGGTGTTAGCTAGCTTTTCATTCCGTTGAGCTGAGACTTGCATGCTATCAAGAAAATCCTAAATTCTTTACGGCTTCTGAATTTAAATAATTTTCTCATCATTTTCTCCCTATATTGCACACCTATAGGGATTTAGCTTGTTTGAAATTCTAGTCACAATTCCTCACTCGCTGTGTGCAGTGCATGATTGTGAAGTCTGTGGTTCTATGACGTCATCATGACAGAGCTGCAATTCACTGCTCCTGGACAAGGATTATTTTGTTTATCTCAGAATAACACTCACTCAGCGACATCAGATTGTGCAAATATTTCGGGTACTGGATATGTTGTACGCTGAGCAGTTGCATTAATTGCAACCTTAGCACCTCTATCGCCTTTCTTTTGTGCGATTAATTGCCGTTAAAAGATTTTCTCTCAGAATTAAATGGGCTGATTCAACCAAGAGCTTCAACCAAAATGCAATGGTACCATTTCATTGTCTTATTAAAGACAGACATGAATGCACAGAAATTTGAGTACTGAACAACAGCATGAAATTGCCTGTTTTTACTGCTGTTCACCAAGTGACATTAAATACTTTCCTGGTCACTTTGTCTTTTGCGTCACTACAAGCACATTGACTTAAATGGCTGAAGGACGATGACAGCAAGTGACAGTCAGCAAATGATCTGCTGAAAGACATTTTTGTCTGCCATTATTATTTGTTGTGACTTTGACATTATGAAAAATAACCCACTATGGTTGAATAGTTCAAACATGTGAAAAATGAGCACTGAAACAGAAAATTAATGCCCTTCCCTGTCAAATGTCTCATCCCTTCTCTGATTGGACAGCAACTGGCAGTGTATTGTTCATTGCCTCTGGTAGATTAGTCCAGCTTTGTAGTTTGAGTGCTTTTAGACTGAAGCTATGACCAGTACAAGACCATGAATTTCCAGGAAAATTGATCTCTTAGAACAAAATGACAGAATCACCACTGTACCTGACAGGGACTTGGGAGAGAAACCAGTTGCAGATACCAAAGATTTGTGTTACGTTTATTTGAAAGAACAAGAAATGGAACAACTAGCAAACACTTGCAGGTGGCATGTAGATAGACAAGTAACAACATCAGACAAGCCTGCAAAAAAGGATCAGTGGGACAGAACTTAAATAGACAGGGATAGAGAGCGACAGATGAGGAATGAGAGTGTGGCATGGGAAGGAGGAGGGGAGTAGAGTGAGACCATAATAGAATAAACAGGATACAAAAAAAAATCAAAGGAAGACAGAGAACAGGGAGAAGCCATTAATGAGAGGCAGGAGATACAAAGGGGGACAAGGACATAGGAGAAAAAAAAATCTAACTGAGATGAGCAGAACAGTAAAATGGACTCAAATAAGTACAAAAACACTGGGAGCCAATCAAGGGAAGCACATAGCAGGTGAGTAGGCAGGCAGAGGAGCAAGGGAAGGGTGTGTTAACAAATTAGGTAATGAAGGTAATTAAGCACAAAGCAGGGAGTGAGAGAGAGCGAGAATACACAAGGGAAAAGGGGGTAAGGAAATCTAAATGAAATAAACTGAACAAAGCAATAAATAAACCTTCAAAATAATATATATTGTATC